CCATCCACTGCTATCCTCGTGCATCTTCTATCAGCATCATATCCCTTCGTATACTTCTTTATACTTCTCTGTCTCAGAAAGTACCCACCTTTACAACGTCAAGATGCGGCTCACTCTCGTTGCCAACGTCTTCCTTGGCCTTTGCCTCTCCGCGGCTGCCTCCCCTACCAACTTCACCCGGGCTCCTATCGTCGTGGACAACCCTTCGAAGCTGTTCGAGGCTCGTCTGCTGGAAAAGAACACCACGACCATCCGGGGCGCTCTCAACATCTGGGCTCGGTCAATCGGAGTCAAGGTCCATGCGGACTTCTGGGGACTTCCAAAGGAGCAGGCTTTGCGTATGTTCTCCCCTTGACGATATGATGTGACGACTGATGACTGACATATCTCTTCTCCAGCGTACCACATCCATGCCCGTCGAGTTCCCGAGAATGGCAGTTGCGAAGCCACCGGTCCACACCTCGATCCCTACAACCGCAGCCAAGACCCTCCATGCGATGCCACTCGTCCCGAAACGTGTGAGGTTGGCGACCTGAGTGGAAAGCATAGTCCCATGTTCACCGCGGTCTATGAATCCTTCGAGGCCGAGTACCCAGACCACTTCCTTTCGACAGACCCCAACAGCCCAGCCTACTTCGGTGATCTCTCTATTGTCGTCCACGGACCCAACAGTGAGAGGCTCAACTGCGGTAACTTTGTGTTAAAGCAGACTGGCACTGAGCCTAGCTACTAGGCGACTTGTCCAATCGGAACGGTATGCGGAGGACTCGGAGGTTTCCCCGCGTTTGTGGAGGAGTTTCCTTTTCGGCCGACTGTCATCTTCATCTCTTTTTTGGGACATGACCCTACATCCTTTTGTCCATGATCCTGTATAACCTCGAATCCTTGCGACGCACCATTGATGCCTCGTTGTGTTTGTTTGTTCGGGACTTGAAGTTTACCTATGATCACGCTATATTAATAGTATCCTTACTCCTTTGTGCATGTGAACAACGTGACCATCCAAGGTTTTGCTTTTATTCCGACCTGGTTTTCGTAGCTCTTCACTAAGTTTGCCGTAATATCAACCAGGGTTTATCAAAGACCTCGTAACGAGGCACCTCTAATCTGTCAGGCCTGCCCCGTAGACGTATCTGAACATGCTTCGGAGAGAAACCCGGCCTTCTGTATGCAATCTACCGTCTCACTGCAGCCATGATATTCGAAACTGCATGTGACTAGATTGAAGTCCAATATGATACATTTCCCGAACCAGTTCCATATTCGTAGAGTGGTAATAAAATACTATGTAGGCTGACCATCCATGTTTTCCAGCCTGCTTTGGATCAAACTGGGATCGTCCTGGCCCTCTTCTGCCTTGTATTCCTCTAACACAATTGTCCTCATGAGCCGACGTGGTGCGCGACGACCCGTAAAGAGCTCAAACTGGGCGAAGCCCTGCTCGGGAAGAACGTCAAGACCATCAAGTGCCACCCAGCCACGGTGAGAAAGAGAGCGCATCTGTTTGATTAGGGGTGTGTTGAGGGGTTTATATGCTAACTATAGAATAGAGACGGGTCAGTTTATGTGATGCTTTTTTCTTTAGGAGCTTGTCGACCTACCTCAACCACAACACCACCCGTCGGACTCTCAAGCCACTGCGACGGCATCTCAAAACAAGGCGCCGGTTGGCCCGCGATACTATGCGCCGGAATACAAGACGCAATGACCGTCGGTTGCTTATACCCTGCCGGCCAGGGGTCTTGTAATGATCTTAATGACGCATGTACCGTGGTCTGACGACCTTGACCGTAACCCTGCGACGGGGTTGGGGCCAGGTTCTTCTGTCGATTATAATGTACTGTTAGTTTCTCCGCGTTCGCGAACGTGCGGTTGTAGACAAAGATGTTTTGCACGCCGAGGTGGATCATCGCATACACAGCTGCGCGAGCCATACCTCCCGCGCCGATAACCAGACCCGTTGATGCAGGGCGTACTGCGTTAGCGGGGGAAAGACCTCGCCGGAAACAATTGCAGATACCGATCCAGTCGGTGTTGTCGCCGTGGAGGGCCTTTATGGGCCCCGCGCGGCTCTTTTCGAGGTATAATGAGGAGTGTTGCGAAGTGAGGATTGTGTTGTCCTTTTCGTCGAGGTTGCGGATGGGGATGAGGGTGTTTACGGCGCCGATGGCGCGCGCGTGTGGCGACATCGAGTGGAGGAGGGGGATAGCTTCGGTTTTGTAGGGGAGGCTGACACTTGTCCCTCCGAAATGGGGGTTTTCGACGAGTTCGTTAAGGCCGTAGAGAGATGGGGATTGGTGGATGCCGTAGACGTGAGGCATGCCGATCAGTTTGTAGGCGGTGTTGTGCATTGTAGGTGAGAGAGAGTAGTTGACGTTTGCGCCGAAGACGAAGTATTGCATGGGGTCGAGGGTGAAGGAGGAGTAGAGGGCGGATTGTGCTTCGCGGATGGTGATGCAGGGTAGGTCTTTTGAAATAGTTTCGGATGTCATGGAGGGGTGGACTACTGGTGTTAGGATGGGGTTGAAGCAGCAGGAGAGTCGGCCCAATGGGCCCGTGTTGTAGGCGGTTAGAGGTAGATGAGGTTCGGGGAGGTTCTTGACTCGGTGGTGGAAGCGTTGAACGGCGAAGTTATCTTCCATTGCCGTTGCTGGCTGAGATAACCTCACCATGTTGCATCCGAGGTTCCTGGCTCGTTCGTACAGTGCCATGTACTCTGAGCCATCCCAGCCTCCGGAGAGCGGTTGACGGGCGGTATAATGACCAATTAGTTGACTCGATCCTCGCGATGCAATGATCTGTGAAAGCAAAGCATCGTCGTAGCCCAGGTCAACTGTGACGAGTCCGGGAGAGAGTCGGAGTCCGTGCTGTACCAGGTTGAGGTACTCTTCCTCCGAACGCCGTGTATTCCCGCTGGTTTGTCCACTGATATTGCTTTCCACATGATATATCATGGGGACAACGATGCTGCGGCGGATAGTTGCAACGGTTTCGCTGATTGAATCCGCGAAGCTCGAATCCACCCTGGGGTCCCTAGGAGAGCTTTCCGCATCGACTTTCAGCTCGAAAGCATCTGCAGCACATTCCAGATCCTCAATATCCATGTAGCGTTCTAACAGTGAAGATATCGGTACTGAAACCACGTAGGTGTATGTTCGGGATTCGACCGGTATCATGGAAAGAGGGAACGAAGCATGTTGGGTGCACATATCAGTAGCGCCGCCCGTTGCAAGCGCAACGAATCGAAGAAAGTCGCGCTGTAGTCGTTTCAATGTCAGGAATGGTGTAGGGGTCTGGTGTCGTTGGTCGATCTCGGATTCTGGCTGTTGCCCTGTATATTCCCCAGCGCATTTCTCAGATACATTGAAGAACTCCAGGTTTGAGCATGCACGATAGATCGGCCCAGACAACTCAAAGAAGCGGCGGATCTTATCATTGTCATACACTTTTAGATAAGATTGGATGCTCTCCGAATCCCGTAAAATGAGAATGACCGGGTGAGTTTTCGAATACTCTCTCAGCAACTTCTGTCCGCTGCGCTCCATAAACCCGGGCCCGCAAACAATCACGAATCCCTTTTTGTGCTCATTCAGTATCAATTCCATGACCTTTGCTTCTTGTTGGCGATACTTCATGAGACCGTATTCATTTTTGAACGCCGCTCGAGAACGCCCGGTTACTTGCTGAAAGTATCGGTCTGCCTCGATCAATCTATTTCCTGTTGTTGCCGCCAGCATAACCGCAAGACTAGACTTGCCGGTACCGCGGATCCCAACCAACACAATGGACGCAAGCGGATCGAATTTCCTCTGCGCCTGAAGAGGACTGTCGAAACGTACTGGTGACGGGCGACTAGATTTCGATTCTCGAGACGAGGCAGTCCAATGTGGATCCTCAAATCCTTGGAATTGTTGACTATACAAGCCTGATGCTGTTGCTTGCTTCGAAACATCATTCCTGGGGGTTGGAGACCGTGAGACAGGCCCGTTTGGCTCCTCCAGGCCTTCAATCTCGCGTAACTTGCGCTTCAGCGGTCTGACGAGGATGGACATGGTCTGGATTGAAAATCAATTGTGTAAAGCAATTGAATACAGTGCGTTTTCAGTGCTGAATATGGTGGATTGCTAATCCACAATTGACCCCGGATTTCCTGCCCACAAAGTTAGAATTCGAGACCCCGGCTGATGACGAGGTACCAACATCGACGAGAGGTGCAAGCTTTGAGTGTCCATGAATGATGCCCAACGTTGGAATGCAAATACACCTCAATCAGAGCCAAACAAGATTTACACACAAACTTCCAGTGGTCGAAAAAAAGAACCCCGAGAAACCTAAGCGCATCTTGACTCTCCGCGGGGATCTCTTGGCGCCGGTGGAGGAACGCTCAGCCGGACCGGAGCCTCGGTTCTGCCGCTCCGGTAATACGATACGTTACCACACGTGACACTCTCTGGGGAAATTCCCCGCGGGGTATGAATTATGTAATGTGTCAGAACAGTCTCGAGTTCGTTCAGAGATAACGATGGGCAATTGAGGTGAAAGAGACTGGCGAACAAGTTTACTCAATTCTATTCTCTGCTATATTATATTATATTCACAAATATATACATTTTCTCCCTGTCATTCTGTGTTTAAGGACCCTCGGATATAAGTACTCACCGGGTTCGGTATTACACTTCCGAGCCCTCAGTATCATTTCTCCATCTCCGCCTTTTTTCTCCTCATTACCATAACCAGATTCATCTTATTCTCTCCCTCAATTCTCTTTGATTATCTCTTGAGGGTATATGCCTGTCATATATTGTCTGCGATAGAGTCGATCCCTTCGAGTTTTGACCCTTTCCCCCCAAACCTTGCCTGTGGGGTGGGGCGGATGCATTCATTCTTCTAATTACTTTCGGTGTCGCCTGTCGGCAAAAGATTCAACTCCTTCCCAGTCACTACTCGACAATGAACATGCGTCCAGAACAACTTTATGGTGGGCCGTTCAGCAAACAATCATGAGCAACGACGTGCGCCAAGCCTCCGGGGGCAGCGGCGGCAAAGCAAAGCGACGATTGACAGATGTCAACGAAGATATCAGAGCAAACCCTGCTGATGAAAGCGCCGCTTATCCTAAAAGGCAGCGCGTTTCGCGCGCCTGCGATAGCTGCCGGTCGAAGAAGGACAAGTGCGACGGGGCCCAACCGGTCTGCTCGACCTGCGCTTCGCTATGTAGGCCTTGCACGTACAAGACGAATCCCAAGAAGCGAGGCCTACCGACCGGATATATTCGCACGCTTGAACTTTTATATGGTATCATCTTCACAAAGATTCAGGGTAGTGAGGATGTAGTGCGTGCTTTGTTAAAGGCGGCCAATATACCTAGCCATTTGGCTTCTATGGGCAAAGAAGCAGAAGGCTCTGACACATTGCTTGCCTCGTGGAAGAATAGCATCGTCTTACGAGAAATTGAAAGTTTGTTGATTCTGCTGGAACAACCGGAAGAGGAACAAAACAAAGGTCGAGCACCAGGGGGCTCACCGCCAGAGCCTGAGGCCAACAGTATTATATCCTCAGACACGCTGGAGTGGCAGATACCTGATGGGTTGCTTGACAGAGAGAGCTCACTACCCGCTATATCATCACCGGTCAAGACACCTACGAATACCTCCGCGGTCAAAGCTCCTACGCAACGCACGGCAACCAAGGATAGCGGCGCCCAGACGTCTCTTCCCGACAACAGGATGAATTACTCGTTACCGGACAGGTCTTCCCAAAGTGCCATAGAACCACCGGCGACCATGCATCACAATAAAGACGACCACCTCCGCTTACCTTCTAATGCATGGTCCCTGTTCGACATCTATTTTACCTACACACAATGTTGGCTTCCGATACTTGAGAAACACGATATACTTAGAACAGCATTCCGCTACGCTGAAGAAGACATACGAATATCGACTACTTCACCAGGAAGCGGAGATCATGCAGCACTGTGGTCTGCTTTGACACTCGCCTCTTTCCAGGAGGTGTCCATCGCAGCCACTCGGCAACTTACAGACCTTCCCAAAGATCCTCCAGATCCCCACAATCTATATACCACTGCCAAAAGTCTGATACCGTCTGAGGAGGGTAGATACGAAGTCGGTCATGTTCAGGCATTACTCATACTTTCACTCGTCAAGCTTGGGCAGCAGGATTGGACGGCAGCATGGATGCTCGTGGGGCAGGCTGTTCGCATTGCTCAGTATCTTGGATTAAATTGCAAACTCAACGACGCTGGGCGGTCAAAACATGTGTTCCTGGGTTGCTTTGTGCTTGAAACTCTGGTCGCGGTTCAGATACACCAAATACCATCGTTACAGAAGGAAGACCTATCGGAGGTTGGATTGGTCAACGAGGATGGTCTGGAAGAATGGCATCCCTGGGAGGACCAGACAGGTCTTCGTCCAGTCAAGCCGCCTTCCGACTCTTTTCATCGCGGACCCCTTCATGCCCTGAGCACGTTCAATCGACTGGTTTCATTGGTATCCATCCTGAATGAGCTTAGCTGTCTACGGCATCGTTCAACCGCGTCTGTGTCGCAACTGGAGATTGTAGAGCGTCAGTTACAGCTTTGGGTTAGCGCGCTTCCCAAAGCTTATCGTGTTGACCTACAGTCGAACCCGACTCGATCGACGTCACCGCATGTGTTTGGGCTTGAGATGATGTATGAAGGGATTGTCACTGTCTTGGGTCTGGAAATCGCAAGCCAAGAAAGCAATGGGACAATGACAGAAACCCCTCGCAAGAGGCGTGCTATTGAAAGCTCCAAGAGGCTATTGCTTTTGCTTCAAAGTTATATGGAGACCTACAGTCTTTCAGCAACCTGTCCTATGTTTGGGATGATATTGACGTTTGGCATTCAACAGTCTGACGAGGGACGGAGAGCATCGTCGTCGGCTGAATTTGACTTTGGCTTACGGAGCAAACTTCAATCTTTCTCTTCTCATATCGCTTCGGTATGGGCCGTACCAGAGAAGACTGCGGGGGAAAGCTCGATGGATAGGGTTCAGACTACAGTTGCATCCACATCCATACCTGCGAACCAACAAAGAAGCTTTGCAGGCATCTCTCCCTCTAAGACGAGTGTATTACCGAATAATATCATACCTCAAGGCCCCTCCAAGTTTCAGGCTACTGCTCCTGATCCGAGAAGCGAGGCGCCCCGAATAGACATGATAGACGATCCCCCAACTGGGCTCAATATCGATTCCTTTCTATCGAATCCTTGGATGAGAACACCGGCCAGTATTGACGATAGCACTTCACTGCTGAGGACCCCAACGCCGTCATTGACAAACGCGCGTACTGCAGCCGAAACATCACGCCAACCGTCACAACTGAATGGGGCCACGCCTAGCAGAACACGGCATTCTATCTCTACAACGAAGCCTGCTCTTGAGGCATCTTTATTGTCTGACCTACCAGTACCTTTTCAACCAGCTCCGTCCCAGTGTCCGCCCACGTACAACGATCCTAATCTTAACCTTGATTCATTTGTCGATATTGATGGATATGGACAACCTCAACGGCAGAGAATTGCACCGGATCTTGACGCACTGTTTGATGAACTGGCGTCGTTGGATGGCACTGAAAAGTGAGTCCTTCATATTTGTATGGTATGAAAATTGCTAATCCTCTATGCAGGGCCGACAATCAACCCGAGTTCATGCAGAACCTTGGTTTTGTACCTGATGCAGGGATGCCGGAGCTCTATCCATATAGCGATCAAACGGAGCCGTTTCTTCTAGCGCAGACACAGCAGATATCATGCCCGGAGACTTCAATGGGCCGTCGAGAGTCGACTTCCAATCGGTGATACCCAGGTGTACATACACGTTATTTTTGGAGTTTGGACTTGGAAAGATTATTGATTGTATATATACATGGAATTTGACGACACACAATAGAACAAAACAGAGCCCCCTGTATATACTGCTGGACACAGACACCAAATACAACCTAAAGCGCAGCTCTCTCCTCCCTCGACTTAAAATTCACCACCACATGCTCCACAGCAACCTTATACCCAAAAACCCCCAATCCCACAATAATCCCCGCGGCCTTATCACTAAAATAACTATGATGCCTCCACGCCTCCCTCGCATGCACATTACTAACATGCAGCTCGATAAACGGGATATTCACCCCTAGCAGCGCATCCCGAATCGCCACGGACGTATGCGTAAACCCACCCGGGTTGATAATGATCCCGTCGACATTGTCGCGGGCTGCGTGGATGCGGTCGATTAGGGCGCCTTCGTGGTTGGATTGGAAGGAGTCGAGGGTGGCGCTCATGGAGGCGGCGTGGGAGGCGCAGGAGGATTCGACGTCGGAGAGAGTGGTGTGGCCGTAGATGTGTGGTTCGCGGGTGCCGAGGAGGTTGAGGTTGGGGCCGTTGAGGAGGAGGATTGATTTGCCCATTTTGTTTGATTTGGAGGATTAGGACTGAGTTATGGTAGGTGAGGTGACTGGCGTGGATTCGTGGTAGAATGAGGGTTTGTATAGTAACTTTCTATTCTGGTGCAACAGGATATATGGTCTTTTCATAGAAACCAGCCTTTGCTATCCTCATTAAAACTATTCTCTACTCCTTCTTTGCTTTTCCGTGCTCTCTGCCATGATTGTAATGAATAATTACCATAAACGAATATAGAACACCGGGTAAAGGCATCGGCCGCCCTGCGGGGAGAACGCTTTGCCGGCGGGAGAGTCTGCACAACGCCGAGACCCCGTCGTATTCGAACAGGAATATGCAGAGATTTACACTTGAGTGATAAGGCTATGGCTTTGGTATTGAGGTGAGTATCATTGAAGATCACGTAGGATTCTATTTGGCGCGGGAGATAGGGTTGTAGTGTTAAGTGTAGATCAACGCATACTAGAAGTACACCCCTGCATAGGTATGCCGATGCCATTGGACCAACAAAAGAACACGTACGTAGATACCTCTATCTAATGCCCTCTATTGGAGAGAATTGCCTGTATCTACACCGCATACCAAAGCAGCAGTTCATGTGCTCGATTAGGGCATCTGTTTATCATCGCCCCGCACCGATAGTCGGCTATCCGCGGGGTTAATCAAGTCCAGTCATCTCTTCCCTTTCTCTCTCCCCCTCTTCTATCACTCGTTTATACGGCAAAGATGTCATTCAGTCAAGCAGAACTAGACGAAATCTACGCCTTTGCAGTTGACCTAGGCAAAAGAGCTGGTCAGCTTCTTCTGGATGGAGTCGAGAAGCGAATCGCAGGTGCTAGTCATGAGTTTGAGGAGAAGGAGAATGCAGTTGATATTGTGACGCAGACGGATGAAGGTACGTCTCCACTAGAGTAATGGTACGATGGCGCATCAAAGCTGACTTGAGCAGATGTAGAAGCATTTATCAAAACAGCGCTTCAGCAGAAATACCCCTCTCACAAGTTAGTCCATCGACCGCAATCTCAGTGATAATACTGACCCCCCCAGATTCCTCGGCGAAGAAACATACGCCAAATCGCAGTCGCGCGAATACCTCATCGACGAACACCCAACATGGTGCATCGACCCACTAGACGGCACCGTCAACTACACCCACATCTTCCCCATGTTCTGTGTCTCCATCGGCTTTATTGTCGCCCATAAACCCGTCATCGGCGTCATCTACGCTCCCTTCACAGACCAGCTCTTCTCCTCCTGCACCGGCCGCGGCGCATGGTTGAACGAAAAGCGCCAACTGCCTCTTATTCGCAATCCGTCAATTCCTCCGATGCCCGCGAATGCGCCTCGGAAATGCATCTTCTCGTGCGAGTGGGGCAAGGATCGCAGGGATAAGCCTGATGGGAATATGCATCGCAAGATAGAGAGTTTCATGAATATGGCTGCTGAGGTTGATGGGAGAGATGGAAAGGGAGGGATGGTGCATGGGGTGAGGAGTTTGGGGAGTGCGACGCTGGATTTGGCGTATACGGCTATGGGTTCGTTTGATATTTGGTGGGAGGGGGGTTGTTGGGAGTGGTATGTTTCTTTCGCTTGGATTTGGTTTGGTGGTACTGACGGTGGTATAGGGATGTCGCGGCGGGTATTGCTATTCTGTTGGAAGCTGGGGGACTGGTTACTACGGCCAACCCACCCGAGAATATTGATACGGCGCTTATTGAGGATGTTCGTCTGGGAAGTCGGCTTTACTTGGCTATTCGGTATGTAACAATTGGTCGACGATATTAAAAGAACGATACTGACTGTCGCAGACCGGCAGGGCCTTCAAAGTCCGAAACAGGACGACAGACACAGGAGAGAACAGTGCGAGAAGTATGGCGACGCGTGAGGGAACTGGAATACAATCGACCCGGCGCATAATTGTTTGAAATGTTCATGTTATTGCAGTAAATAATGCGTATATAACAACATGCTCAGTCTATATACAATGCATGAAATAGAGAAGTTATTACAAATGCTCACAGATTCGACTTGGACGGCGCCCTCGAAGCAATCGATTTGGCAACCACATCCTTCACCTGCTGTACAACACCCGGCTTAGCAGCAATATCCTGCCCAGTCCACAGACGAGCCTGCTCCAAGCCCTGCCAGATCAACGCCTCCGAGCCCAAAATAACCTTCCATCCTGCATCGGACGCCAACTGCGCAATCTCCGTCCACGGAACGGGGTGGTAGCACATTTCCAAAATAACACCCTTGTAGCTATCACCAGACAACGGCGATCCACCGCTGAAGAAAGCCTGAATAACCCCCCTCGCCTTGATCTCCTCAGGCGTCTTGGGCGGGTAATTCGGAATCCCCGACACAATCGCCGCAGGTTTCTCCAGACCAGCCGCGACAGCAGGCTCAGAAACGTGAATCAACGGCGCCACCGGATTCGGATTCCTCTCGCCATCCTCCTTCAAGATAGCCTCGACCTCCGCGCTATCCCGATTCACAATGTAAATCTTGCTAGCACCCAACCACTTGCGCAACACATACACCGCCGTTCGCGCAGTACCACCACCACCAACAATCAACGCAGGCTTCCCCCGGAATGAATCCTCCCCATTCGTCGCGACAAGCTTATTCTGCACCAACGCCTCGCGAATCCCAATACAATCCGTGTTCGTCCCGACATACTCAGTCCTCCCATCCTCGCCCTTCCGTACGAAAATCGTATTACAAGCCCCCGCCTGCCTTGCATCCTCAGTAAGATCATCCAAATGCGCCATGATATTAACCTTCCACGGCATGGTGACAGAGCTCCCCACGAACTTGGGATTTTCGCGGATCGAGGACAGGAATGTAGGGATTGGCGGGGACTTGGTGTAGGGCGGTGGGTAGGTTGCGGATGTGCCTGTCACGCTGGAGAGGGGGATTTGGGTCCAGTTGAGGCCGAGGGCATTGTAGACTGTTTGATGGAGGGGAGGGGAGAGGGAGTTTAGGAGGGGGTGGCCGTAGAGGTAGGCGACGCCGTCGAGGTGGGCGGGAGTGGTGATGGGTTCTTCGGTTTGTTGGGATGCCATTGTATATTGTTCAATTAACTAGGAATTGAGTGTAGAGAGTAGTTAGAAAATGAAGACGAGTATCACTTCCTTATAATTAAGGGGAATTTTTTCAGCCTTGATCGCGAAAATAGACTCAAGTCACATGCCGGAGAAACGTTTTAGTCCTGCCTGTTTGGGCCAGCCGTGATGTTCTCTTCACTTCTCTTCATCCGTCACTTTCGGTATCCAAAGGCACCTTGCCAAGAACATAGCCTCTATCTAGATCATTGCAAGGCTTATTCCCTCTATAATTTATGCCCTCTCATCTCGCATACTGGCTGCAGGGCTGCAGAATATCCTCCGTTCTCTTTACCCGCCTGACTAATCCCGGGCAGAACGCTTTTCCCTGGCCCTGTGGAGACATATGGGTCTTGACAATCTGGGGAGAATGAATCCGGGGTGTTCGCATTCTGCATAATCGACAGCATAGTGCAGCTGTAGTCGCACATGCGCTTACTGGTGCTACGAGCGCGAAAAGACAGCAATATGCATTTCAATTGCTCTGCATTCTGACAACTATTTACGTAGATTATGCGCTATTTCTAAACAAGTCTATCGATATCAACCGGCTGCCCAGTCTCCAATGCCTTCCGCGCAGCCTGACAAACAATCAACGCCCTCAGCCCCTCCGCACCAGAGCAACTCGGCTCCGCATTTCCACGAATAACATCCACAAAATGCCCAAGTTGCATATCAAAAGGCGTAGCATGCTCAACCTCAAACCGCTCAACCACCAAAGACTCATTCCAGCTCTTCTCAGCACGCCTATCGTAGCTCCAACGGGTCATATCCGGGACACTCAGGGAAGCATTTGAGCCAAAGATCCGGTAGAAATCCGAGTCACTCCCCGTCGGGCTCTGTGGGATAAGCGGGTTCTCACCCGTCCCTGTTTCGAAGTTGTGAGGTGAGGGTGTGGCGTCGCAGACGAGGAATGTGCCCACTACTCCAGAGGCGAATCGGAGTGTCAGTGCAGCTCCTTCTTCAGATTCGTGTGGGGGGTTCGGGCGTTGTGGGAGGGTCTTTTCGGCGTGGACGCGCACCACGGGGCCGAATAGGTAGTGTAGGACATCGATGTCATGAACGAGGTTGATTGGGATAACACCACCGGCGGATTGCTTGCGGCGCCAGTCTCCGGGTGGTTCGAAGTACTGGTCTGGCTTGAATAGCGTCCATAGTCCATTGACGGCGATGACTTGTCCGAGCGATTTGGCGTCGAGGATCTCCTTTGTCTTGAGCACGTAGGGATTGAATCGTCGGTGGTGGCCGACGAGGAGCTTCAGGTGGGCATTTTCAGGCTTGCGCGCAAACTCCAGTAGCTCCAGACCGGTCTCGATGCTGTCGCTGATGGGTTTCTCGACTAGAACGTGGATCCCGTTTGCTAGTAGTTCGCGGGACACGGCGACATGTGTATGGTTAGGTGTACAGACGATTGCGGCATCTGGTTTCGCAATAGACTCCAGCATAGACGATATCGACGGGAAATAGGCCGTCTGGAGCTGCGATGCAACACTCGCGGCGCTGGACGCCGGATCGATCAGAGCGGCCAGCTCGGTGAGCGGATTGGAAAGGACGGACTGGGCATGACGGGGGCCGATGAGGCCTGCGCCGACGATAATGATTCTCAGCGACATGATATGATCCTTGTGAATTCATTTTACGGGTTAATTCCAGCTACTTCATATGAATCGATTGTGTGGGGAACAGACGATGAACGTTCACCCGGATAAACGCCGAGAGAAAAACCCTTATCCGGTTACTATTGTCAACTCGATGCAGCATTTCCTTCCCCGGATGGTACTATGATTATCGCTGTCAATATTAATTCAGATATATTCCACTCTCGATCACAAACCATTATCTTCGTTTTCATCGTGTTGTTATACCCGTCCAAACCAGTGACATCATCCTCGATATCATATCAGATCAAACCAAAACCAAGTATACAATATAACCAACATGCCCAACTGCCTAGGAATCGCTTCCATGTCCCTAGGACGCCCCTGGATCCACGACCTCCCCAGTAAACTCCATCAAGCCTCCATCCACGGCTACCAGGGAATCGAGATCTTCTTCGACGACCTGGACTGCCTCGCGCAAACCCGTCACAACGGCTCACACATCGACGCAGCGCACCAAACAAAACGACTATGCGATAACCTCAACCTGACCATTATCTGTCTCCAGCCATTCAGTTTCTATGAGGGCCTGCTAGACCGCGAACAACATGAACAACTCGTCACCACAAAACTCCCCCAGTGGTTCCAACTCGCCCGAATCCTAGGAACAGATCTCATCCAAGTCCCATCCAACTTCCTCCCCGCAGACCCAACCACCGGCGCACCCAGAACAACAGGTGACAAGGACGTCATCATCGCAGACCTCCAACGCATCGCAGACCTAGGCCTCCAACAAAACCCACCCTTCCGCTACGTCTACGAGTCCCTAGCCTGGGCCAACCACATCGACACGTGGGAGGAATGCTGGGACGTGGTGCAGCGGGTCGACAGGCCGAATTTTGGAATCTGTTTGGACTCGTTTAACATTGCGGGGCGGATCTATGCGGATCCGGCTTCGGTGACGGGGAAGACGGCTACTGCTGATGCGGATACGCAGGCTTCTGTGCTGCGGTTGCGGAGTAATAGTAATAAGATTGATCTTGAGAAGGTGTTTTATGTGCAGCTTGTTGATGGGGAGAGGTTGAGTGCGCCGCTTGATGAGAATCATGAGTTTTATGTTGCTGGGCAGCCGGCGAGGATGAATTGGTCTCGCAATGCTAGACTCTTTCCGTTTGAAGAGGATAGAGGGGGGTATTTGCCTGTTGTTGATATCGCGAGGGCCATTTTCAATGATCTGGGGTTCAAGGGATGGGTGTCGTTGGAGCTGTTCTCGAGGACGTTGGCGGATCCGAATCCGGGGACGGTTAGGGAGCATGCTAGACGGGGACGGGTGTCGTGGGATAAGTTGGTGGATGTGCTAGAGTTGAAGGAGGCGTATCCTGCGCCTGCCTCTACTGCTTTGTATGCTTCTACTTCGGATTCTTATTCGTCGGCGGGATTGCAGCATCGGTTATAGTGGCAAAGTATATATATCTTGTTTTGTATATTGGCATTTCTTAGCTGGCTACTGCACATAAAATGATATCCTACCTTACTATATCATCGTACTCTTGCCAGCATCTCAAAGAAAAGGAATGTATATGGTATGCCAAATCTATCCCATGCCAATCAATGACAATGATTGCTATATGTAAGTACATATGTCCCCAGAAACACCAGTCGTTGAAGACAAGACACAAGACAGCAATGAAAGAAAAAAAAAAAAAAAAAACACCAACCCAGTTTCCGCTCCCTAACCCAACCAACACAGACACAAACAAACTCGTACAGAAGATTAATATAAGTATTATGTTTTGTTTTCCTTTCGTCGAGGGACAAGTGTTGAAACCCTCGTGCACACTCACGAGATTAGAAAGCGAAAACGGGCTATGTATGAATGCATGTATATCGATGCAATTTTGCAAAAGTCGAAAGTAGAAAAATGGAAACGGCCGAGTTTAGACTTTTGAGAGAAGGAAAGTCAGGACGATTATGCTTCCTGCGCCCATCGTCGCTCGCGAAGGGGCATTTCTGCGCCTTCTTGGGCTCGACTGCCGTCTTGTTCGCGGCGCCAGGCGTAGTATTCACCGAAACGGTTCTCGGCGTAAGAGGCATAGTCGAAGTCGATTTGGGAGATTTGTGCTTGAATAAGTGCCCAAACGCCCCTGCACTAGTTAGCATTTCGACCCCAAGTCAGATTTAAAGTTGGTGAAGGCATACCAGTATAAACCAGGAATACCACGGAACCGATCCACATCCTCATACAACCGGTCGACCATCTCCTCATGTGCCGAGTCCGGAATCTCACGGTGGTATCTGTAGCTCTGGATGTATTGGGATAGGAATTGTCGTCGGACGGGGCGTGTGGGTACCATGCTGTAGTCGCAGTCATAACCGGCCCATTCTGCGAAGTGGTTGGCGAGATCAAATGCGGCGGGGGAGGGGTTGGCGTATTCGTAGTCGATGAAGTGGACTGTTCTGACTTCTTCGTCTGGTCCGGATTCGGTTGATTCTTCTGTCGCGATTACGTTGGCGCATAAGAGGTCGCAGTGAGCGAAGACCAACTAGAAGCACGTTAGCCTGGTGCAGCAATGGACATTGAAGACACTACGTACCCCATCTTCTCCAATACCCTTTCCGTCATCAAACTCCTTCACGACGCGCTCGAGCTCGTCTTGCAAGCGTTGGCGTCTCTCTCGTTGCTCTTCTGTCGCAGTCGGGAGAACGAGAATCCATTTTTGCAGAACCGTCCAGAGGTTGGGTCCCGGGTGTCTAGGCTGGATCAAGGGACCGTTCGGCTCCGGTTTGTCTGAGATCTCCGACTCGATTTCTACTGGGTTCTTCACGATGGGCAGCTCCTTTGTCGTCGGGAACGCAGGTTTCCCTTGGATTGGCAGAACCGCATGCCACTGCCCCAGCCTCCTGGCTACACCGCGCCAGATAGGAGCATGCGCCAGCTCAAGGTGGTTGGCGGGTGTGCCTCGAAGGAACCGGTACAGCAGGCCATTCTGGAATCGGGCGAGTAGCGCAGGGGCAAGACCGCGGCTGGCGAGTAGAGCATGAGAGTTCATTTCTCCTATAGTATCACACGTCTACTCAGTAAAAGTCGCAATGGGCAGAGTCAATCGAGGAGAGAGGAAGAGAAAGGGACGAGTCCCTTGTGTGTCATACTTTCGCGGTCTATGATAAGTTCCGTACAGTTACCGTACGCTCTCATGAGTACTGCTTCGTGGTCTATTTGCTCTTCGGTCCATTCCGGTTTGCGATTAATGATTTTGAGCAGCTACATCGCGTTAGTCCTCGAGAGCTCCTTACAGTGTCTGCCAAGAAGAAAGTCTAGATAGAACACACAGTATTGGTGATGCCGTCTGTGAATCGCACGAACTCAATGTTGTTGCCAGGGCCCTCCCAGTCGGGGTTGAGGGTCAGGACCAGCCTTAGGGCCGAGGCTTGCGAGTCTGCATGGTTATAGTATTGGGGGATGTATCTTAGGGACGAGAGGACATCGTTGCCGGAGTTGTATGCCGAACCCATTGTCGGAGTCGGGGCAGAGACCGAGGGCAAGTTCCGGCGGGCAGCTGCAGGCGATGGCTGGCTGAGTTGGTAACGGGATCTAGACCTGGGAGATTCCGCAAGTATCAGTCACTATAGATATCGCGTAAGACAGCTGTCCAATAAGACAGCGTCAACTTTTCCGGGAATTGCAAGCATGATACTATGGGAAAGCAGCCAACCCACCTGCGATCAACAACCCGTCTGCATGTGATTGACAATCCGCGGTGTTGTATGCTCGCTCACCTTGTATGTGAATTGAGACAATTGCAAGAAACCAGTTGAGAACAAGTTATGATAAGAAAATAGAAAAGAACACGACAACGAAGAGAGGAAGAGGAAGAGGAAAAAGGAGAGGTGTCGGATGGTCTCGTGCTCGTGGCCCGTGATTGGAAGCGGAATGGGCCCCTCCTGAGCTTTTCCCCTCATCAACGTCACTGCGTTCTACAAGTACAGAGTTGTATATAATTACTGCTACTACTACCACTGCTACCAGTATAACTGCGTATCAGGCATGAAATACTTGCACGTGCAGCTGTCATCTGAAGCACTACTGTATTTGTTTCTGCCAGCCCATTCAGTCTTCCATGTGTTGTCCCCTGAGTGCTTGGGCCACCTTGCCTTAGGCATTTTTATCACATGCTAGTTAACTAGTTAACCAACATCTTTGCACCTGAGGCATTGATATCACATGACTGTACATGCCCCAGCCCTACATCCTACCCGTCTCGGCAATCACTAGCTCCCGAGCCCAATCAGGCTAGCGTTATCCACCTCCCAGAACATACAAATAGCCCGCCATCGCCGCCCAACTTGAATTTTTCTTTTCTTCATCTATCTATCATCAGTAGCGGTTTACTATTACCATAATATGTAAATCTACCGGAGCTCCGTCACCGTACGGCTTGCTGAGGGTTATTCGTCCTCTATGGGTTATCCTCCGTTCCCGGCTTCGCAGAGTCACCGTTGCGTCTTCCTTTTTCCCTACACATAACATGGCTGAGCTAGGGTTTTTATTCGAAAGGATAGATCCCCATGCGCTTTAGCTGTGGAGGTGGCGCCAAATCCCTTTTTCTTTTCTACAGTGCTTTATGTTGTACTGGCTGCTCTGCTTTTTGCTCTGTTTTCATATACGATAGATTTTCAAGAATGAAATTACAATCATGCAAAACTAAGTCGTGCTTATGCCAATCTCATAATCGTATCATTATTACACTCGTCCAGCATTCCCGATCTGAATTCTCTCTCCGCTCCACTTGTCGTCGCTGCGCAGCACCGGCCAGCTCGTCCCATCCGCCTTGACCAACGTCAACTCCAACTTCGTACCCAACACCCGGAACTGCGACTTCTCAGGGTCAATCGGCGCAAATAGCGAGTATGTATCCTTGAACCGCTTGTTATCGGTAGTCGGGAGGTCGAAGTCGATCGAGTTGGCGGAGAAGTTGACTTTGGCGTGTTCCTTGTCAATCTTCTTCAAGTAGAGCGAGGCGTTCACCGATGCGGGTGTTTGGTAGAAGTCGGACCTGTATGGAGTAGAACAACCACGATTAGATATTGAGCCCATGACCGCGGACAGATAGAAACTCACCTCACGGTCTCGACCTTCTCCTCCCCAGCCGGCTTCCCCTTCCCAACAAACAAATGCTTCGTCCGCTCCTGACAACCCTGGATCCTCAAAAACTCATCAAACTCCAGCACCTTCTTCTTGCAGCACGACCATCCCTTGCTCCCCTCGTGGAAAACAGGCTGTCCGGGGTGGTGCACGCATTTCTCCTCCTCCCGCGGTATGGACGGATCGTAGCCCGCATTGCACGCTTTCCGGCGACAAGTGGCATTCGCAGGGATCTCGAGAGACGGGTCGTCGTCCTCCGGCTCTTCGGAGACAGGCGTAGCAGGTGCAGGGGGCGTAGGCGCAACGGCTGGGGCGACAGCTGGTCGCGACGACTCAGCAGTCACTGGTTGAGGGGCGGGGATTTGAGCTGCGGCATTATCGGCTGGTTTCTTTGGAGGCTCGACGGGCGTGTCGTCGACCGTTGAGTGCTTGCCCGTGGTGCAGGGTGGGATTGTCAGGAATTCTTCGAAGGTGAGAACGCGGGGTTTGCAGCATTTCCAGCCTGTTTGGAGCGTTCTTCGCGTTAGCCTTCCGTCCGATCCGTTGGCGATTTCTATCTTTGGCGTTCTAGAAACCAGGACAGACAGCAAGGTCCTCTCACTTACCCTTCTGCCCCTCGTGGAATACTGGTGGCCCCGGATGGTAAACGCAGTCCTCGTCCGCGTTGGAGAATTCTTTGCCGCACCCTTTGTGGACACACTTGGATGCCATTTTGCAACCTAACGCGAGTATCCTGTAGATTCAACGAGCGAAGGAAAAACTTATATGATAGAAAAAAATTGAAATCGGGAGCAAAAGTTGGGAAACTTCGTTTGCTGCTTCAATTATCGCCAATCAATCCCGATCAAGCTTAGTGCGGAGAGCTCGAAGATTCCACCGAGTTGGAGAAAAACAAAAGCACATCTACCACCCGATCAGACCCATTCAGTCTATTCAACGCAGTTCAACTTACGCACTACTTTGTACACAATTGAAAATGTTTCCTACAAGAGCCCTCCTTCAAGCCGCCCGCGTCACTCTCTTCACCCGCGCCGGCTGCGGGCTCTGCGACACAGCCAAACACACCGTCGTCCAACTGAACAAGCGCAAACCCTTCAACTACGAGGAATTGGACATCATGAATCCTGTCAACAAACAATGGAAAGATGTTTACGAGTTCGATGTGCCCGTTCTCCATGTCCAGTCTGTCCGAGACCAGCAGATCTCCGATTTGAAGAAGCTGTTCCATCGGTGGACCGAACAGGAGGTTGAGAATTTGGTCGACGAGGCGGAGAAGAAACAATAATTTATTCGCATACGCGTGGATAATACAAGATGGTTATGCAAGATACTCTATTTGGATATCATTATCTTCTGATAAAGTGGGGGGGGGGTCTAGGAGCTGGCGGTTTCCAGCGCGTTAGAAAGGAATGTGGGAAGGGCGACAACATCAGCAACAACGGAGATCTACAGAGAGAGTTAGTGATATTCTACACGTCTTAGTGATGTGTCTCTTACCATGTGGAAGCCCTGGTCCGCGTACTTCTTCGCAGCTGCACCGCCCGCGCAGTAAATACCGACTCTCTTACCATTGTCCACAGCTGCCTTGTATATCCGGTCAATAGCAGCGCTCAGGTCTTCGTGGAATTCTCCCAGGACAGGACGGCCAATGTTGTTTCCTAGATCCCAAGGGCCGATGAACAAGACGTCAATACCGGGGACCTTTGCGATTTCCTCGACCTGATACTGTCAGCTTCCGTTCATCTTTTCTCTTGTTTATGCGGTGGCATACATTCTCAAGAGCCTCCTTGGTCTCAATCTGAACAATCGTGAGAAGCGAGTCGTTGGCGGTTTGGAGGTACTCCGTTGCGGAAACCTTCCCTGTGTTACCCATGGCAAAAGGACTACCGAATCCTCTTCGTCCAACAGGAGGGAATTTAGCGGACTCGACTAATCTCCGGGCGTCATCTGCAGTGTAAAGAAGCGGAACGACAACACCATGTGCTCCTGTGTCCAAAGCTCCTGCTTGAAGTCAGCACCAGCAACCCCCAACAACCATAGAAACACATACGCTTCACCATCCATCCCTCATTAGCAGCAATCCGCACAATCGGACTGACTCCTTCGGCAGCAATCGCAGCCACGGCCTCGTGCATTTGCCAATCTATGTTCTATTAGCCTCCGCTCATCTCAATTATGTGAAATGAAAAACATACCAGCAATATTCCCATGCTCCGTATCAACCAAGATCCAGTCGTAGCCAGTCCTAGCCATAAACCGCGCATGGTTCGCACCCGGAAGCATCTGCCATGCGCCAAAGGAGAGCCCGCGCTCGGTGCGGAGAGCTTGTTGGAGACGGTTTGCGGCTTGCATTTTGTATCACTAAATTGGTATATACTATAGTGTGCGAAACAGAAGAAGAGACGAGGGAGAAATAACACGATGATGAAATGGACGTCCCACCTCGCGAAAAGAATCCCCCGAGGGGTGGTTTTGCGGGGTTCGGTAGCGGGCCAATGGTTGGCCGAGAGGTATTGTAGGCAGATATAAGAGATGTTATTACATTTTTGGCATATTTATGATGATCATAACAGAGCTAGATTGAATCCTTACCCGTAGACCCAATAAGATGTGCAATTGAGCTGTGTGGCAGGGAATAGCGCGAAAGACTTCAGTATGACCCTCGGACCGGCTCCGAGTGTATACATTGTTCCTAATCGGGAATTTTCGATTCGAGCGGTTACCTTGTAGAGGCTGGATGCATGATTAGAGAATTGGGTTTTGTATGTCCGGGACGGATAGTTGTGGTTTTGTAGTGTATCTTTCTACATGATCTAGCCTGACGTCATGTCCTCGTGAAGTATAACTGCAACCTCATTCTTCAATGTATATGCCAATGAACACAACTTCAACTCTCTATATGCCAGCTGGGAGATCGCGTGACTGCATAACCCAGGCATAAGGACATCGGGAATCCTCACCATAACGCACATCCGCGCACCATAGCCATGCCACCAAACCAAGAACCAGAAGCCGGCTCTGAAGAACGGCTATTCCTCAAATACTTTCCTGATAACACCCTCTATGCCAGCGAGCCTACTCTGGACGACATTAGGGCTACCGTGCAACGAGAGCAGAACAAATCCACCGGCGCAGCACCATATATCGTCTTCTCCAATATCTTCCAAGAAACAGTCAAATACGTAACCGATAATCCAGAGTTCCTGGGGAAGCACATCCGAATTTTCTACGACGAGAAATACCGCAAACTAGTAATCAAACTCATACCACACATCCACGAAGTAGCATGCAGCTTGATATCCAGAGAAATCGACATCGCCGCAGACCGCATGAGCATCGTACATGGACTCGTACCTGATGGTTCAAAGCGTGTCGTATCAGGTCAATATACAAAAGAGCCCGCTTCTTCCTGGCGCCCTGCTACACTCCCTCCCTCCAGAGACGCAAAATGGCCATCCTTAGTCATAGAATGTGGAGACCTTAGATCAATCACGAGACTCCGAATTGAAGCAGAGTGGTGGCTCACCAAATCCCAAGGAGACATCAGGGTCGTTATTGTCCTCATCGTACGGCCATTCCGGTCAGGGATCTCACTGGAGAAATGGGTTCCGGATTCGGATGGGAATTCGGGTTCTAATGATACCGCAACAGGTAAAGCAAAGTGTGTTCAGAGAATTGAGTTGCAGTGTAGGGCAAGAAATATGGCCAATATAGAGGTTAATGGAGGACCGTTGAGGCTTGTGTTTGAGGAGGTGTTTTTGAGGCCCACTAATTTTCCAAGGGAACGGGATATTATTGTGAGTGAGGAAGCATTGGAGGGGATTATGGGGTTGGTATCTGATGGGGGTATCTGAGTTGTTATCTAGAATATTCTTGCTTCGAGGCAGAAAATTTGTAGGATTTCTTCGTTATCCAATGACTCAGAAGCGCCGTGAGTAAGAAAACAGCGCTCATCGAAAAATCATGCTTTCATTCTGAAGCGGTAGAACTTGAATATTCGTCTACTATGAGTTGTGTATACATAAGTAGTGAGTCAACTCTGGTCTGGCGGGTGCCTGCCACATCTCTCCCTTTCCAATTCATCGTCATCCTACCACCATCTACCATCAGTTAGATAGTCCAGCTTGGTGCACATCCAGTCCCCAGTCATTTTACAGCACATCGCATCCCACATATCACGGCTGCTTCTAAGCTCTTCAAACCTCTGGCCGTCTTTGTCAACCAGCCCGAATCCCAACCATACATCAAATCGATCAGAAACCTGGACGGTATAAGGTCCACTAAAACTGATAAGAACACCATCATCATTAAAACCATATCCGACCTCACCCTGAAAATCACTTACAACGAGGAAGACAACAGCATCACCTCAGTCGAGACTTCAATACCCGAACAACAGCCAACCACAACAGATCCGCGCCATTATCGCATGTTTGCCGATTGCGGTGCGGAATTTATCTGGCGGGATGTAGACGACGTTAGACCCGAAGAAGATGAGTCCTACCTCGAAACTGATGAAATCTTTGCCTCATTTACCCCCTCAATGCGTGAGCACTATGATGCCTGGGGAGGCACATATAGCAACTACTTCACAGCAAGGCTCTGGAATCCTGCGGACTTCGGGGCTCCTCTCTGGCACAGTGCAGACGAGCAGGTTGCATGGCATGTGGGTGGTTTTCTATCGGGGTGGCGTTTTGCTCTCGATCCTCAGGTTGGGAGTATGAAGTACTTAAATGGAACCTTGCTGGAGCGTGGGAAAGAGATGAGTATTACTTTGGAGTTTCTGAAGAACCAAGCTGATCTCTTAGAAAATTGGATGTCTTCATGATTGGTTTTATAACAGTACTTGGGCATTAAGAGTGTGATTTTGAATAGTTGCTTTTCTATAATGAGCATTATTTACGCATAAATACTCAGCCATTCTCGTCCAGTCACTCGAGCAGTCAACGCCGAGATATATTGCAAATATCCTAGCGCGCTCATGCATCAAGTATATCACATAACTAGGCGCGCACGCTAGTATTAATTTATCTTACAATATCGGCCAATAACTCTCAATGCAATGAAGAGTGCCCAGTCAACCTATTCTATGATTCACATCCAAATTTGGAGTCAATGGACAATTTTTTGCGGCCATGCAATGAGTCAAAGCGTAAGCGCAGAGCACATTCATTAACGGCAATTCCATCATCGTAAAAGTTTGGACCAACACACAGTATACAACTGTCCCGCTCCCCGAAGAGAAATATGCCTGTATCTGACATTCTCAAGCCTCTGGCTGTATTTTGCAGCCAACCCCAATCTCAACGATACATCAAGAAAATCCAGAACCTGGGCGATGCATGGCGCACTATTTCTGAAGCGCCTTCCACCGAGACCGATGTTATTATTGAAACCACATTCGATTTCACCTTAAAATCAAAACCGAACAAAATAGAAATATCTCCTCCGTTGAGATGGCGACGTCCGGAGAGCACAAAACCGCCTTCGCACCTGATCCAGTCCATCACTGGCGTATTTTCTTTGATTATGGAACGGACTTTATCTGGTGGAATTACAATGTTATCAAATGAGAAAGAAGGCAGCGCTGCAGAGCTAGACGAGCTTCTTGGATCATATCCTCCGTCAGGTGTCGAACATTATGATGCTTGGGTGGATGAATGCACGAATTACTTTAGAAAGAGATGTGACAAAACAGGGGAATACATGGCAGATATATTTATCACTGCCTCAGAGGAGATTGCGGCTGGTTACTTATTTGCCTGGCGCATTGCTTCTGAGCCTCACATTTGAAGTATTCAGTTCTCGGCAGACCGTAAGAGATACCTACTGGAGCGTGGGAAGGAAACGAGTATTACCTTGGGTTTTCTGAGAAACCAGGCTAAGATTCTAGCCAATGGGCCTTCTAAATAGCAATCCTGAGGCTACGCAGTAAAGGTTTTCCTTATATTTCTTTCGTCCTATGTCATATGTGTCCATGGTGAGTCTGAAGCTATGTGTCATATGCGATACAAAATATCTCAAAATTCTTATTCGTGAGCCACTCACTATGACGTCTCACCACCTATATATATAGCCCGTCAAGCTCTGAAATATTCATCACAACATATAAAAGAGGACCAAAATGGAATCCTGTGGCTTGTGTGGCCATAACTTCGGGACTGCTGGCACTCAAGGCACACCAGTAGATTCAAGACGAATATTGTCCGAACGCGCTGATTGGAGTACGAGTTACATAAACAAGCAATGTGCAATTGGAAGAACAGAGGAGCTGAAGAAAATTTACTTTGAGATCCCGTGAATCTGGGAACGACTACAACGAGCCGTTATCCAAGTACCTTCACAGAACGGCAGAGGGAAAGATGAATATCGTCTCAGCGGCGTGGCGCTCAGTGGGGACTGGAATTACACTGACAGGTATCACATGTCGTGGAAAGTCCCGAACGATCCTGGGAAGTTCATCTTGGGGCATCCTAAAAGGTGGCCCGAGGAGCCCATGTCAATTGATTCAGTAAACGCATCAACGTATATTATGAAAGCTTACCCTATACACGAGCGGTGCTGGGAATTGAGGACCCGGATTCTTGACGTTGACCTGATTGAAAAGAATTTTGATCTGTTTATCAGGGCTCAAAAGAAACACAGCAGAGAGAATGGTCTTGTAAAAGGATTCTTGATTGATGAGAAGCGCTATTGGAGAGCCCCAGATGAAGAGCACAAAAATCTATCTTGGACTGACCCCAAGGAATATGCCAGGATCTGCGAGAAGAAAATGAGTCGTATCGAGGGCTGTCTCGACCTCCCCTGCGCACCAAGGGATTCCTTCAACATCCCCGAACTGCGGGATCTTCTCAACCATTCGGAGAAGCTCCAACGGCCAAAGACAAAGAAGGAAGTGCAAAGAAGATTAGAACCAGAACTAGCGAAAATCGCGGCCCAGGAACCAGGTAGCTATTCAAGTCCAACAAATTTCAGAGTTCCAGTTGATATTATTTTCATGATCATGGATTACCTTCATGAAGATAATGATACCTACGCTCTAATCTGTCTGTTTCTGGTGTGGAGGTCCATGATTTCGCAAGCAGCCTGGCGAAGGAAATGTATCAAAGACCTCCTACTGGTGGAACCACTTCCACACGTTAATGAACTAGACTGGCGCTATCTTTACTTCAAATCCAATCCATCTACCTCTGTTCGCAAGTGCACTGGCCAGTGGCATGACCTTGAAGATATTATTTATGAATGGCAGAATACACTCAATTTGAAGGGCGCATATATCAGTGGTGATATCCTTGTTGTGGAAGCACGCCAAATCTGGAATTCTTTGCCTCAATATCGTGATCAACCACCACCTGTATTCAGCAACGGATGGCTATACCGATTCAAGCAGCGATTTAATATCAAACAGCATACACACCACGGCGAAGCAGGCTCAGTTCCGGAAGAAGCTGAGGAAGAGGTGAAGGCTATACGCACAATTTCAGGGAATTATAATGAGGACGACATATATAATATGGATGAAACGGGGCTTTTCTAGCGTATACCCCCATCACAGAGCCTATTATCGGCCAATAGGCCTGATGTCAAACGAGATAAAAGCCGAGTCTCAATTATCTGCTGTGTTAATGCCTCTGGGACTGATCGATTGCCTATTTGGGTGATTGGCAAAACACGTATGCCACGAGCCCTCCGCAATGTCAACATACCTGCAATTGGGGCAGAGTGGAGATGGAATAAGAAGGCCTGGATGGATCAAATCATCATGCGAGAATGACTATTAGCATTCTATAGCCATATTGGCAAGCGAGCAGTCCTTCTTACTATGGATAATTTTGCTGCACATCTAGCCGGGCTTGGATTAGCACAGCCACTACCAAATATACGCCTTTGCTGGCTGCCAAAAAATTCAACCAGCCAATATCAGCCACTTGATCAAGGGATTATAGAATCTCAAGATATATTACCGGAAACAGTGGTTGAGATTCATTCCTTACCATTATGAATGCAATCAAGATCCGCTATAAATTGTGACACTCTTAGATTGCATTCGCTGGCTTGTAAGAGCTTGGAACCATGATATATTGAGCACAACAATCCTTGCCTGCTTCTATAAAAGCACCCTGGTTCTCAATCCAGTGCAGCTTCCAATTGAATCTCCAAATCTATCATCTCTTTATTGGTATGTACAGCGGTCTGGCCACCTCACAAACTGCATGGATATTGCAAACTTCCTAAACCCAATGGAGGGGTCATTGGACCTTGTTGAGAATGAGGAAGATTTATCACCTGAGGCTTTGAGCATTTGATTGCGGAGGCTTCGGATACTGGAGATGTATATAATGGTGATCAAGAGTATGATTCTCCAGAGCCGGCACCACTTCCAAAGCCTTTGGAAGCTCCGAATGCTGTGCAACTGTTGATTTCTTATATGGAAGGGCAGGATGTGTCTAGAGCATCTCTTCTACGGTCTCTTGGGCGCCTTGAACGAGACCTGGAGTGAGATAGTCGTATCACGGACCCAGGGCACACTGGATAGCTGGCCTAGATAATCAATAAAACCCCATCTTCGTGATAGTCTCAAACAGCCGATATTCTATGGAGGGAAGAGTTATATCGGCTAAGCGGGGCCGCACTGTATATGGCTCTTTCCTAGACCATTCGGAGTCATGATTTAGTAGTGCAATAGGCTCCCAGGGTAAAATATATCAGCGATGTACAATTTTAATATGGTTTTTATAGAGTTGGTCAGGTAAATATCTGCCGTGGAATGTTGAAATTGCATACCACAGATAGCCGTATCTGAAGATCTGATAAAGGTGCAGATTCCAATTGCGGGCCGAAAAGTTAATCTGATGAGCGCGACATCCCCTCACTCTCACATCAATTACTTTCCACTCAGTACACTCACTTGTACCTACCGATCAAAATGGCCGACATTCTCAACCCCATAAACATCTTCACCACCCATCTGCAATCCCAGCGCTACATAAAAACCACCCGCGACGAATCCAACTCCGAAGAAAACACAACCACCACCACCATCGAAACAACCTTTGACCTCACTCTAAAAATCACAAAAGCCCCCAACGGGACTCCATCATCCATCGAAGCCTTCCCATCCACAGAGCAGCCACCATCCAATGAACCAAAACCGCGCCACTACCGGATTGACCCCGACTACGAGGCGTGCTTCATCACGCGGAGCACCAGCGATCTGCAACCCGATGAGGAGCGCGATGTGACAGCGGAGGATGTGCTAAAACCGCTCCCTGAGTCGGTTCAGGAGCAGTATAAGGCGTGGGTGGATGCGTATAATGGGAGTTACAAAGCAAGGGTTGAGGATACGGGTGATGAAGAGGCAAGTGTGTTTGGGACTGCAGAAGAAGAGGTGGCGTGGAGTGTTGCTGGGTACTTGCTGGCATGGCGCCTTACCTTTGCGCCTGATATTGGGAGTGCTCAGTATTATGGGCTTGGTCGTTCGCGGTCTTTTGTGGTAGGTGAGAATCAGTTGCCTTCCACTGTGGGGTTTCTGAAGGCCGGGGCGGGGGTTTTGGAAAGTGGGAAGCCATCGATGTAGTATGTGTATTATAGTCTATCATGCTTTATAATGGCAATGTTCTAGTCATGGTTAGTATATACCTAGCTATATACCCAACTTCAGGCGAAATTTTTCCTTATAGGAGTGTGCCGTCAAGACATCCTAGGCAAGCTCAATAATCCAAGCTCAGGCCAATGCTCTGTCATATCCAAAAGCTCCTTCGTGAACGGCCGAAACCACGCCTCCTCCGAAACTGCTTCTGGCGGCAATGTCCCAAACGCGTCCATCGGGAACAACCAAAACCCAAAAGCGGGTTTCACGGCTTTCTCGAGGTCTTCATTCTTGTACTTCTCGTGCAACGAACCAATCGGGTACTGTGTGACTTGGTCGCTGATATCGAAATAGCGTAGTGCTAGGTTAGCATTTGTTACACTGTCGTCAATGCGCCATTTCCCTGTCCACTCCCAATCTTCTTTTTCTACCCATCTCTTTGCGCTCTCACAATCAAAGATATGGAATTCGCTGCCAGGCGGACTGAAACTTAGCATCAGTCGATACTCGACACCGGACGGCGAGATGTCCCATTTCTTCAGTATTCGCTGCCATTGATGTAGCAGACCAAGGGGGTCACTCTCTACATATACCCGTTTCAAGTCCTCGGCAATATGGCGGGGATCACGACGCAAACGCTCAAAGTTCGGTGTTGTCGCCATGATTGGGAAGGAGCGGTTAAACATAGTCTCAGACGTCGGAATCCCGCTCAAGAGACCCAGAACTTGACGTCCCGTGCGTACCTTCTCGACAAAAAAGACCTCTCGTAGCTGGCTGAAAGTTGCGACAAAGGCGTCTCTATGCTCAGCATTGAGGTTCGATGGCTCTAATAGGTCAAGATCAGTCGCGTTCAGACTGTGCGTGTCCAGCGCCAAGTTGAGCAAACCAACACGACGAGGATCATGCGTGTGCTTCAGATGATATATAAAATCCAACAAAGTATTCTTTGCCAGAATTCCCGGATATATCCAAAGAAAATCGTACTCCGGATTGAAATGAAAAGTCCCCGGTTTCATAACCTCTTCGCCCGCAATTCCATGCATCAGCGTGCACGGAATGTGAACCCGGTAAAAGCTCAATGCTGCCTCTCTTGCCTCGCTGTTGACTCGCATCAACTTGCTTATTACCTGGTGTCCGTCCACAATGGCGCGATACCGAGTGCTTCCTCGATCTTCGTCTACTTGTCTGTCTGTGCGAACTTCGAAACGGACCGTTACGATGCGCGGGTGTTGCAGGGAGTAGCTCCAGATCTTCAGGCGCAGTTCGGGCGGTAGGAGAGAGAATAGTGGGAAGCCGGAGTTCTTGCTATGACTGTCTTGAAGGCAGTTAAAGAGCTGCAAGTGGGGCTGCGACATGTTGAAAGTCAACGGGACCAGAGCACGGTGGATTAATTGACGTTATGGGAAGCCCCTCCGTAGCGAGATAGACAATCAAACAGAGGCTCAGCAGTCGCCCCAAAATAGCGAACTTGCACAGCAACTGTCATCTCTGAGCTTGTAGACTAGTGGGCAAGAATGTGCCTAAAGTGAAGCATGGACAAAGGAGAGTTGAAGTTGTTCCTATTCATTTCGGGCAGTTGAAAGATGACGTCAGTCGTCAGCAGCCAAATGTGGCGCTGTGGCTGAGGCAGTGAGGCCTTTTTCCTCTTTGGGACAGGGCTTCATCCTTCGGAGTTTGATTTCGGTCAAATACGGAGTATTATCAGGGGCTTTCTTCTGACTTAGCAAGTGAATTAAAAAATCGGAGTGTTCCTGTGCCATTGATTTGAAAACTTTGATCTATTTAGGATCCACTGGCTCGTATTCTCAAAAATAAAGCTTTTTCCACTTCTCTTTCTTTTACAGAAACCATGAAAATGTACAACCTCAACGACTTCGCACGTAGCTATGGTCTCTCCCTGCTTCTACCTCTATCTATGTTCTTCATCCACAGTCTCGCTTTCCGGCTTTCGTCTCCACGATGCGCCACAATCGCAGCGGTTGCGTTGATGGTCTACCACACGTTCATGGTGACTGAAGCATACCATTATGCAGTCCAAATGGGATGGTCATGGGCAGGCATACGGGTGTTGATACGAGATGGGACGTACTGTGTGTTCTTTCTGATTGCCGCGGTGGATATAATTCGTGATAGTGGGAAGAGGGCTATTGACAGTGTATGTTTACCATGTCCATATAAGAACAGGGGCTTACTTTACCTTTTAGGAATCCAAATGAGTCCCAGATAGGCTGGAAAAGGGAAGACAGTGAATTAACGGATCCGCCCCATGAGTCGCTTCAGCTGTCACGGCTGCTTCTATCTCATGTTGCTGCACATCGTGACGATTGCCCACTATAAACTGACCAGGCCCGGCTTCTCAGTCGAGGACTATGGTTTCCCTTCGAAAACAAGTTTGTTGGAGCATCTGACCCATTATCACTCGGAGGTCAGCAAAGATGGTCACTTTTTACCTTGTCAGCCTTGCAAACGGTACTCTGGGAAAGACTGGAAGTGTTCAAACGAAGCATAAAGGGATCCAATACCCGGTAAGCGCTTCGTCCAGAGATAGAATTATTCGTATCTAACAGATTCAGATAACATGTTGCAACGCTCAAGATTAAAATGAAAAGCTTATGCATGGCCATACCGGCAATTTCTATACTTTACCTTTGAGCAAACAAAGTCGTCAAATGCATCCACGGTAACGTGGCAGCCAGGGCCGTTGGGATGCCAGAACTCCCGCCTGGATATATCATACACGATTCACTTGTGCCGAAGTCATACGTTGTCGAATTTGATGTACGACGAATAACTTAGATGAGGCAATATGCTCACTCAAAGACAACGGGTCCCGCAGCGGATCGAAATCAGCGTCGAATACGTCTGATGCGATTTTTGCCCTATAAGAACAAAGGACTAGAGATGTTACAAATGTGATTACTGCACTGGGACTTGATCGACCTTGGCACAGCGGGGATGACGACTCAAGTCAGAACAATTTCTGAAAATAAACAGGCAACTTCATAAAGTCAATATATTCGATCGATAAAAATATCTTCATGTCACGACTCGTAATAGCTGTATGATTAACATCGCAGGCAAGACATGTACTCAGCCATAAATATCCACAACATGTAAAGTTAGTAGCGCAAAGTTAGTCTAGCAAACCAGCAAATCAAATCAATCATCAATCATCAAATCCAGCATGCCCATATATAACATGACAAAAGGCAAAATAATGAACAAGAAAGCAAATGTAAGTCGTGTACCATATAATGCAAGACAAAAAAAAAAAACAAAAAACTCCAAAGCCATGGACGCCCAATAAGATTGGATGTATACGATTATCAAAACCACATGATTCCCACCACCAAGCCGATTACGATAGCCATGCAGCTACCACGGACTTGCTTGGGGTTTCGACCGCTCCCTGCATCCTGCGAGTCGCCGGAGAGGACTGCAGCTGCATTTGCGGACGGTATTGTTTTGGGTGCGACGGTAGGTTCGGACACGTTGTGTTGCAGTGGTAGCTTTAGTTGGTGAGTATCCGAAGGAGGTGAAACGGGCGGCTGTATTGAAGAATTAGGTAGATATGTTGAGTCTATAGCGTCATAGGAAGTAGAAAATGTCTTCACTGTATCGTGGACGGTGAGACAGGCCTGCTGCCATGCACCACTGAAACGATCGCAAAACTGTAGTTTAGGATTTGTATCGGTTTTGTTGATCATCAAGGTCGTATAATTATTGTCATATACCATCTGCTCAAAAGAGTCGTCACGCAATGAAGGTAACGGTAAGGAAGGAACGTCGGAAAGGTTCGATGGAGGATGCGACGACGCTGTCTCGACCGGAGGTACGCTCCGAGTAGAAAAAGACGGTAGCAACTGACGGCCATCCAACTGCTGGATGAAGGCTGTGAAAGCACGAATGCTTCGAGTAAGGGTCGAAGAATGTTTCCACGGATACACCGTGGGAGCATCGTTTGGCAAAACAGATGCAGTCTCAAACGAGCTCGGAACCGCAGCAGGACGCGAACGAGGCAGGGAATCACCACACAACCACGGCCAACACTGACCGCTTGTTGCCCGGACCCTCAAACGAGTATCAACAGAACCATCCTTGACGAATCGCGAAAAATCTGCACCAATTGCTACTGCCATCAGCAACTGCCATATCATAGACGCAACGTAAAGCAATACTCACGTCGGACCTCACTCCCAGTATACCACCCATTCTTCCAATTAGACCCCCAATCCCATGATAACGACGGCACCAAGCTAAGCAGCGAAAAGACAACAAGCGCCAAAAACGGAATTGCACCTGGCTTTTCCAGCCCCGACCGCATCATCCACGCGCCGGGCTATGACCCGGACTAGACTGCGTTCAATCAACAAAAACACGCACTCAACTGGTATAGGATCTGAATTCGGATTCGGGCTCAAGATCGGCTTCGGACAACTCGGGAAGGCGCAAGACGGACAATGACAACCTCATTGCCAGGATGTCGAGGGAAGTAAAAGATTATTATTATGAGTGACGGTAAACGAAGATATAGCGCTATGTCTACCGAACCGTAACGAGGTCAACGAGAGCTGCAAGCTGCAATCTGCAAGTAAGAATCCAGTCGCAGGGCAGGCGCAAAATGGGCGAATTTCACAGGGCGCCCAGCTCGTCTAAAAGTGGGTGTAGTTTTTTTTTTTTTTTCTGTCCCAGCAACCCGTTGACGATCAGCGCGAAACCGGATGAGCAGCCGCTGGTGGAGAGGAGAGGAACAACGAGGGAAAAGAGATCCAGATCCAGGTTGTGTAGTGTGTTATGTATGTATATATAAAATTGGGATGATCCCCGGGAAAGCGATTTTCTTGCGACGAACGTCGATGACGACGTCGAATGTCAGTTTTTGCCGGCGCAGAAAAAAATAGAGGGCAAATGACGTAAGGACCTCTGTCACCCCGCGACGGCCAAGAGAGTCTGCTATCGCGTTATATGCTGCATATAAAAAGGAGGGGGTCATGGAGGGGCAATGAGGCATACAGAATAATATTGGATGTCTATGAAAGGACGATAATAATAAACAAGACGCTGCACGTCGAATGTTGACTCGTGCGACGATCGCACGTTGCTTACCATACGGGTACTGTAAGTTACCGACAATAGATATCAAGATATGTATTTGTATAGCATCAGGCAGCAGATTATATAGAAAACAATGCAAAGATCATTAATCATTCATAGTATGACAAACACCTCATCTGCCCATGTTCCTGTACACTTCATGGTTCCTATACAGAGTAACCCCATAGTGCAACTCTTATCATATACGATTCGTCATCGTCGCTGGTGTCTCGGACTTGGGCGACACCATTGTCGTAGTTGTCGTAGCTGTGGTTGTCGTAGCCGTACCCCTCCTCGTTTGCGAAGTTTCACTCCCCTCGCTCCTGGATTTGTCCCCACGCGGGGTTCCGGTGCGGGTTGTGCTGCCTCCGCTGCTTGTTTTGCCGCCGCGCTTGACCATTCGTCCTAGCACTCTGACTATCTCGGCGGCATCTTCGAAGCTCTCATCATCCATGCCTTCTCGGGCATTGTATACATCGGCAATGGCCTGCTTCGCTAGTCGTCGACAGGCGGTGGGGTCATGCAGACAGTCGTATATGTAGGCGGCGTATTCGAGCTTGACGGACAGTCGCAGGGGATGGGATCCCGGTAGCATTCGTTCCGCTAACGTGGCGGCATGATTGAAACAGGCCGTAGCCGTTGTAGTAAAATCCTGCAATGGAAGAAGAAACGATGCTGCCGGTTTGGGTGGTTGAACGGGTGCAAGACCCGGAGGATGTTGTGCGACTCTCCCTGCCGATAGATGTTCCCAGCGGGATGCCAGCTCTACCGGTACGGGCAGTATTTCTGGTTTCGATTTGAAAGAGAGTCTTGTCCCTGGCTCCTGAGACAATATCCCGAGTCCTGTGCCATTTATCGTAGCACCATTGGCCGGGAGACCGATGATACCGGGGGAGTGAACAGCCGGCTGGTTGTGGAACAGAACAAATATATGATAAAACGAAGCTCGAAGTTTATGCGCCAGGACCTTCAATTCCACGTACGCTTCGACCATTGGAAGAACAAACTCTTCCAGAATCAAAAGACCTTCGCGCGAAAGCCATATGATGTGGTGGTACATATGAAGGGATCTCGTTTCCCGAGTCGGATCTAAACGTCGCAGCCGCCGTGCACGAAGAAGCTTCTTAGAAAGCATCACCGACAAACCCAAGACCTTGTACAGCATCGCGGACAGAAACGGATCTTCCAGCCCTGTGGAAGCCGCAAAGGCACCAAGGGCCTTCTGGTCAACTTCATGCGACGCCATCCACACGTCCAACGATTCACAGTCGTCGGAGCCCAAGGAAAGGCTATCCTCGTCAATGTTAGCCATGGTTGCGGTTACACTGGTCAATGGGAACGAATTGGGTGTCAATCTCGGACAATAAAAAAGAAAACAGTGTAACAGGAACACCCGCTATAAGAAGACAGAACTCAAGGATGCTTTGTTTGCACCGGATAGATCGACAGTGATAAATAAAGGAAAAGTGAAATGGAAGCATAATATGATCATCTTACCTTACTTTCGCGCGCGCAAACGCTCAATACAGAATGTAGTTCCCCAGATGCGCTTAAACGCTGTGGCTTTCCATGCTCATGCCAAGCGCCAGCTTCGGGAACTTTCTCAGCCAGTCGATACCCAAAGTCAGCGCCAAAATAGACTCTGACTTTGGCCCAAAGGAACGGCTCGTTCCCGTCGCGCCCTTTTTCTTCTGTGTCTGGTCTTGTTGCGTTTGTATTCCTTTTTCGCTTGTCGCGCGGGAAGGGTTGAGATAAGCAGATTATGCGCCGAGTACCAATTCAGACCGCTCGGAAGTCGCGCAAGTAAAAATTGATAAGTCACAGGTCCGACGATTACAATCCTCGGAGGCGAACTTGTTGTACAAAGTGGACCAAGACAAAGAGGCTTGCAGAGGGGGGAGAAGATAAAAGAAATATGAGATGCTGATTTCACCCCGCAGAAATAGACGAGGAATCCCCGTTTATTGTGCACCGGTGATCTGGAGCAATCGCGCGTTTTTGTAGGGCTCCTGACTCAATTATGGATTGATGTATCGTCGCGAATGACTGAGAAGAAAAAAAGAAGTTTCCCTCACTCGCACACAGCAAAAGGCGTGAGCAACAGCACTAGCAATGCAAGGTACGGAAAAAGATGCAATTGGCGATTGTAAAAAGAAGCTCGTGGCCAGAAAGCAGACAGTCTCGAGACATTGTGTGTTTGCAATAGTCGTCTGCTGTTTCTGTCTTTTTTTTTTTTTTTTTTTTTTTTTTTTT